AGCCACTCCTCCCAGTTTTGTGTCATCAACACAACTCTATGATACTCTAGAAGCTTCAGTTCCTACAGACTTTATGTCCTTATCAGTTTTGAAGAAATAGTAAACAATAAGCAGGTGCCAAGAGGACAGAAATAACCAGGTCTTCAAATACTAATGTATGTGCTGGAGCTATGGTTAAGCTGTGGTCTGCTGGTACAAACAGTCATTAGCTTTTGGGTTTTGTTCAGGTACTTATAGGAGAAAACTATAAGGCAGAAAATAAAAGTGCAGTTTAAGTGGAACAATAACCCCAAATTTAAACTACTTTTATAAAAGTAATTATAAAAGTAATTTTAATTGTTTAGGATTAGTTTTAGATTTGCTCTTTAGGGGATACTTTGAGTTATATGTAAACTCACATTTCTTATGCTTTATTTGCTGTCTTTGTGTCCTCACCTGAAACCAGCTTAATCTGCATAAGGCTACTTCTAAAAATCCTTTGTTCTTTAAAAGTTGAAATTAGATAGATTTCAAAGGGAGATTTATAGATTATACAGTAATAGTATTGTATTTTAAGTTTAAAATTACAGTAATCTTGAGCAAATACATGCAATATGATAATTTTCAAAGATGGACATGTGATTTTTTATATGAATGACTTCATAGTTTTAGAATACCTTGGTTTCTATTTTCTGTTTATTCAATGTTTTTACATTATCTGTGCATCTCTTATTTTTGTCACGTACTTGCTTTTTTACTTTTCTCTACCTGTAACTTGTCTTATTGTTTTCCTATTGGTCTATTGCCTTTCTTCTACCTTTTGGCAATGTAGACCTTGAAGTGTAGGATATTTAAGAGACTTGTCTTTAATTCCTTTTTTGGTGGTTTTCTCTTTCAGGATAACATTTTGTCATCTACCTTTCCAAAGTAAATGGCTATACGTGGGCACCGAAAGAGGAAACATTCACATTGTCAATGTGGAATCATTTACTCTCTCAGGCTATGTCATCATGTGGAATAAAGCCATTGAACTGTGAGTTTGATCAAGTATTGTCTGTTGAGGGGAGGGAACAGAAGTGTCCCAGGTGTTATTAACATCAGTTATAGAAATGACATTGTTACCTAGAGCGGCCCCTATATTAGTCTTACTACAGCAAATATGTGGCCAAAGTACTTAAGTAGTCGTGTAAATACTTTATATTATCGTAAGTGTGAAGTGTTAGGGTTAGTGTATTTTTCTCCCTATAACACTATTTTGTTATAGTGCTTGGAATAGACATGAAAGTAGACAAAATAGACAATGTAATAATAGACATAAAAACCATGATCTGTGGTGAGAAAGAACTAGAAAAATAAAATAAAGATGTGGCTGGTACTTGGGCAGGAATGTCAATTCTACAGTTTTGGGCTTAAAGGCCGTACTACGTAGATATGCATTGTAAGAGGGCCAATGCACGCTGAGTATAAAATTGCTGGCTGAAAATGTAAATTTAAATAAGCCTGTTTCAAGAGCAAAGCATGTTTTATGACTATTGTCATTGCTCCTCTTTTTTTAATAATAAATTTGTGTATACAAATATAGTGTTTTGTGGGTGTAAACATATACTTTTGTGCTGCTGTTCCTGTGCTGTTGTTTTGTTCCCAGAACATTATGTCTGTCTTCAAAATATAGTCCATGACTTGCCAAAAGCTGTTGAAACTAACACAGCTCTTCAGTAGTCCATGTTTTTCAGTAGCAAGAAGTCAACAGAAAGTCTTAACTCTGTGTTGTTTTAACAATGCCCAGCTTGGGGGGCAAGAATAATGAATATGCATAATGGCAAGACCTGTTTTCCAGCATAAAAATAAACATTTTCTCCAACTGTGTCAATTCTGTGACATCAAATGTTAAGATCAATATTGTAAAGGTAATGGTGGGGGTTTTTTTTTGCGTTGTGAATAAGTAGTAAATAAGTCTTTCCTTCTTATAAAAAGACAGAAACTAATTGCCTAAAAATAGATAGAAAGAATTTATGGGCTTGAAGATAAAAGTAGAAGTAATTCCATGCAGAAATGTCAATAGCTTGCTTACATGGAGTCTATGTCTGCGGAATCTGTATTATTTGCAATCATTTTGAGGTTCAGTTTCGGGCAAGGGAATTTTGTTTTAATTAAATGGAAATATTTCTTGTTTAGGTCGTCCAAAACTCACCCAGGACCTATTGTCCACATTAGTGACAATCCAATGGATGAAGGAAAGGTAAGATATGTTTAAAGAGTATTCAATGCATTATTCTTCAAGCAAGACTTTTTAAAGTATAGATACCACTGCTTTTGACAGAAGGATTAAGTAGTTGAGGACAAAAGGAAGGCTAAATCAAGGTTTTAGGCTCTGAAAATAATATGAAGCAAGGTACAGACATGACTGTAGGACACATCACTAGAATAATGGAATGCAATTTTTTAATCAGAAACATTTGGAAACACAGCTGGAAGTGCTTAATTGCAAGAATTCTTGAAAACAAAAGCAAAGAATTTTATTTATGGCGGTAAAAATTAAGATTTTACCAAAAAACCCAGTCATAACCTTAATGCAGTAGTGTTGGAATGGAAATTAAGTAAACTTTATGATGCTCTTGGGTCTTGCTGTTACACAAGCTTAAAATGCTTATGTATGTAGCGTATTTATATAGAATACTGTGTACTTTGTCTTTAGCTAATCCAAGGCAACAGTTTTTATCAGATTTGAGGTCTAACTGACATACTGTCATGTAGCAGACAGCATCTAGTGATTATAATAAATTGCTTAAAACCAAACTGGCCTGTAGTACAACTAGATACATCTGAAAAGTCAACTCAGCTAAAACATGTAAGAGTGAGCTATGTATTAGACTTGTCTTTTCCTGCTTTCAAAATAGTATTAACATAATCATCCTTTTATCTTGACAAGAAGTTTTATAGTACACAGTCTTGAAGCCCTTTCAAGGCAATAATTTTTGTCCGGTGACATAGCAGCCACAAAGAACAACTTGAGCAAGGAACTTGATGGTCATGAGTTCCTTCTGTATTACTAAAGTAAATCTATAGGTATTGCCTGTTTGCTTTGGGACACCTGATGTGAGGCTCATGCAAAACCAACATAGAACCCATAGCTTTGGTTCACAGTGAAGACTTTGTGAATTACAAAGCAAGGAGTTAAAATGTTATTATGCCTTCTCTATGTGACAGCAATTACTGTGGTATATAGTACCAAATCATCCATTTCCCACTTAAGTCATGGTTGCAAGACTAAGTCTGTGCTTCAGTAACAGACCTCTTCTACGAGTCTTGGGGTGGGATCACGTGACTCGCCCCCTTTATGAAGGATCTTCAGCCTCTTTAGCTTGTGTGTCTCATATAGCTATTTAGCAAATCTCTGTGGTCTGCTGCAACTTTTGTTCAGATCCCTTGGTCCACACTGAAGAGTAAGCAGGAGGGATTTTCCTTAATTTTGACAATAAGAGTAAAGCAAAAAATGAAAGAAGGGTTTGGAAACCATCAGTCTTAGATGTATCTTTTCCAAAAGTGTGTAGACTCCTGACAAAGTATGGTTATAACTTAGCCGGAGAGATCTTGATGCCACTTTAAACAGATTTTCATTACTGACTTGGTTCTAGATTAATCAGGCGTAAGTGATTGAACAGATCGATGGATTAAATTTTGAATGATTTCGTCAGTGTAATGTCTCAAATGTCTTGGAGTTTTGAACTCCCATTTGTGAAGAATCTTCAAGGAGAGACAAAATAATTCTGCTTACTACTGTTCCATATATGCAGGAGAAAAATGTTTTTCATTACTTGCTTTTCACTTGACATGTTAGTGGTAGATAAAACAGAAGAAAGGGAGTGTCTCAGCAGTGGTTTGAATGTTTTAATAGCATGCTAGTTACAAGCTTGTATCCTAGACACCTGAGGTTTTCATCAACAAGGAGAATTTAATGAATTAGAGAGGTTTTTTTCATTGGGATGAAGCTCACTGCGGTAAGTGCATAACTAATGAGTTTCTCTGTAGAACTAGTTTTGAATCACCCTGCAGAACCATGGACCGTAGTATATGAATGTGGTGAAGCTATGGTAACGTCAAAAAAGACAAATGTTCTATTTATTCGGGTGTATTACACCCCCACCACACACTTAATTATTGTCAATTAAAGTTAAAAAATTACTGGCTTTATCAATTACGCTATCAATCAGTTTTAGAATCTGACCTTACACTCATCTTCTTTTTCATAAGAAAAATATTGCTGAAAAAAACCCGTCCAGTTGCAAGAACCTCCTGCATACTAACTTTTAAAATTTGTTCATGCTATTAGCCTTCTAATCACAGTGATTTTTGTAGTGTTTGAAGTTAAAATAGGAAAGAATATGAAGTATGGCTTGTGCTAAGCAAGGTCATTTAACATAGTAGTATACATGACACTGTAGTGAGAAAAAAATCTAATATTCACTTTTAGCAGATCAAATATGTCTAATATTTTGGGGATATTTTAGTGTTGTGTAGCACTGAAATAGATCAAATATTAGATCTGTAAGCTGGTAGGAGATTCTCTGTTTTTCATACTGGAAATAACTGTTCACCCTGAAAATCTTAACATGCTGAAAAGACTGTCCAGGCAAAACCTCTGGATACAGCAATAGACCATATTGATTTAGTTCTCTATCCTTGAGTACAACGGCATGTTTGTGAAGGCAGTGTTTTCTAACTTGTAGTATGAAGGACACTCCTCATGGCACTTCAGTTTGCTCCCAGGAAGTAGGCTGTTTCAACAGTGAGTAAATCCCAACAGCCAACTATTCCTTTTCTGTATGTCCATGCTGGGGAAAAAGAACTGGGAGTGAAGGCATGTTACTTAATACTGGGAGCTGCTTCTCCTGTAGCAGCATTGCTCAAAGGAAAGGTCTCGCAGTAGATCCAGAAACTGTGAAAGATGAAGCTGCGTTGTCTTCTATATAACAGGTGCCAAGACTGTTACTACTGCCTTATGTTGGCCTTTTTTCCTTTTCATTAAGAGAAGTGTCACCTAAGACAGGAGAGCAAAACACTTAGATACTCAATGTGTTAGACTAATTATTATGAGCCATTTGAATCTTCAGTCCCTGCGGAAATGGCTTAGTCTTGCTTCTAGGAAAGAGATTATTTGGAAAATTATCTTGTTTAATTTCTCTCTAGCTTTGCTCTTAACAACTAATGTTCTTAGTGTCCTTTAGCCAGTTATCTTAATTGTGATTAACATCTGGAAAAAGCTTATATTATGTAGTTTCTTTATAGACGCTGAACCGTTACCTAGAACTTCAGGAAGGATAGTGTGTTCTTCCAGCAAATCTATGCAGAACAAGTTCCAGTGAGGAAAATGCACAATAAACAGTTCTTGTTCTTTTCCACACTGTATGTGCCACCCCCCCACACACACACCCCCCACCCCCCCTTTTTTTTTTCAGGAAGGAATACACTTAGGGAAGTATAATGTTGACCTTTGTGGAACTCAAAAGGATTTCCAAAGACTCTTCAGGAGAATGTAATTTTGCATGAGTATCAGTTGTATTAGCTGGAATTTAAGGAAAGTGACAAGTACAGAGTAAATCTGTCTAACATTGAGGTCTTCACCGCTTCTCACTAATTTGTCATTGTAACTACTTGCAGTTACTGCATGTAGTGCTATGCTACATCTCTTTGGGGCAAAAACTACAGGCATTGCGAACAGTATTATTTTTCTTATCCTCATAAAGACTTACTATATTTCTTATTATTGCAGCTTCTGATTGGCTTTGAGTCTGGAACAGTGGTATTATGGGATCTGAAGTCAAAGAAGGCAGATTACAGATACACACATGATGAGGTAACATTTTTCATCTGCATTACTTACTATGAAGATACCATTTGCTATTCTAACAGTGATTTTCATTATTTTTTCATTCCTTCCGCTTCTGTCAGAAGTGGATGCATAAATAGGTCTCTTTGAAATTGCAAATACTTGAAGCTTTCTGTAAAGGAGCCGTGGAGCTTGAATAATATGTTTGTGAAACGGTGACTGGCATGGATTGGATTTCTTTACTAATTTGTGGGACTGGGGGGGGAAGGTTTCAGATCTTTTTTCTGTTACTGAGTGTGACTTTCACATGTGTTAAGAGCTTGAGTCTTAAGTTGAAATAAGATGGTAGAAATTTCTGTAATTCGGGATCTCACATGTTCTGAAAAGTGGGGGAGGGAAGAAACCATTAAATAGTCTTGTTAGGACATTTCTATAAACACACCTTTTCTTTGTAGGATAAGATCAAGGTTTGAAATAAAACTGGGGGAGGTTTAGAAAGAACAATGGCGTTGAATGGCATTTATTTCTTTAAAACTTAATTTTAAAAACTTAATTCTTAAGAGAATGTAGGCTTTTTGAAAGACTGAGATAAAAAAAAAAACATATCATATTCAAGTTGAGGTATTTTATTTAAAAAACCCAAAGTTAATCTTGATTACATTTTGCTAATTGTAAAATCTCTGTCTCATTGTTCAGTACCAGCTAGGCCTGTTTCCTGTATCCCTGCTGGTGTGTTTTCCTTAGCTGTGTGCTGAACTTTTCACAAGATGGTATTTGGTTTTGTGTGTAGTGGTTCGGACTCAGTGTTCATGGTTGTGTTTGTTAGTTCTACCAATGAAGAGTTTCGTTGAAGGGGGAGTCTCTGAAGTAATCTAAGCCTTAGATCATCAGAGCTGAATTATTAGAACATCAGAGCTGAATTATTAGAACATCAGAGATGTATGAGATTTCTTTGTATGTTCAGAATGTCTGTATAAGCCTCAAAGTACGTTATTTGAAGAGCAATTTTGTACCTTCCAGTTTCATTGCATGCACCTAATTAATTCCCTCTGTCACTTTGTTTCATAAACTTACCCATATCTCCATCATCTTGTACTGGTCTTAATCAAGTTCCTCCTAGACCTCTTCTTGCTCTGCTCTAACTTTCTTTTTTTGACCGTTCTATTTTATCTTTGTTTTATAAAAGAGAAACACAACAACATAGTATATTCCAGATGTTGGCACGCTGGATTTATGATGTGGAATAATTACGTTTGGTTTTGTTTTCTCGATCTTGAGACTGGGTTAGCCTTTTGATGCTGCAAGCATTAAGCAGATACTTCCTTAGAACAACCTACTATAAAATAGTCTCGTTCTTCTGAGCTGACAGTGTTAATAGTCAGCTCAAAGTCCTTTGTGTTTATGCATTGCTTCGCGTTTACATAGCTGGACAATAAAAATTTAAGGTTTTCTGCAGTTCTTCACTGGAATTCTGATTTCTACCTGGAATATATGCTTTGGTACTGTCAGCAGACACATCGCATTAATATGCTTGTTCTAATTTTCCAAGTTATTTATGAATAAACTGAGTACCACAGATCCTTGGGGGTCTGTACCAATTACCACCACCCATGAACTAATCAATTACTGCCAGCCTGTCTTTATTCTAGCCTGCTTTACTTCCTGATACCTTGACCAATTACTCATATGTTCAAGGATCTCTACTCTGTTTGGGTTTAGTTTCCTTTGAGAGATGTTGTTGAAGGACTTTAAAATTGTGCAGGCAGCTTAATTGGTGTTTCCATTAGCCATATGCTTGTTAACGTTTTCAGAGGTTTGTTGGATATGATTTCCTTTTACAAAAACCATGTTGACTTCTCTTACCTGGTATATTATACTCATACATATGTCAGCTAACTCTGTTCTTTATTAAAGTTTTCTTGCAGTTTCTAGAAACTTAGTGAGGGTAGACACTATGCTGCTTATTCTCTTTTTCTTTGGCTTTTGTGGTCCATTTGTTTAAAAATTGACTCCAAACTTCTCATCTTCCTGAACCAGCCCTGATTTGACAGCTTGCAAACAGCAGTGAATAGTTCAGCTGTTTCATCTTTAATTTCCTTTAGGATTTATAAATGAAATGCATTCAGTTTGTTTTTTGATTGCAGAAGAGGTAGTGAAATAACTCAGGACAGATCCTCTGGTAAAGAAAAGTGCGTTATCATAACTTGGGAATGGATACGAATGCAAGAGAAAAAAATTAATATCTACAGAGTGGACTTGATGAGTTTCACTGTTCTCATTAGTGAGAATCAACATACATAAAGTTGCTTTAAAAAAAATATTGGCCTTTCAAGTCTTAAGTTGAAGTATGATTTGTTTTTCAGTGAGTTCAGATTGCCCTTTAAGAAAAATATCTCTTTGGAAAAAGAATTACTGCATGCAGTAATAATTTTTTTGGTTCTTCTCCATTTAACATTGTATGACAAGGAATTTCTTCAATGGGCAAGTTATTTAGATCTAATCTTCTAAGGCAGAAGGCACGATAATGTCCCTTTCTTGAATTTGGATTGATGCAGTTAGGTGATTTCAAGTTCTTCTGGATTCTGGCCTAAATGGCATAGAAATAAAATGATTAATTTTGTCTAACAGAATTGAAAAATATGTGTTTCTTGAAAGGTCCCATTGCAGAGAGTGCTGTAATTGTTTCTGGATGGATGGCCCTGAGAGAAGATCTGGGATACAGAAAAGATAATGAATAAAAAGCTGCAGAAAGTGGATGATTATATGTATGCTATATATATATATGTCCTTTAATTTTTTTCATGCAAGTAGGTAAGGTGGGGCGGCTTCTGTATCTTACCGTCATTTTTTTCTTCAGTGCTTCTCAGTTTTGTGTTTAGCTGCAAAAATGGAGAATCTCTGTCAATTTGTCGGTGAAAGGAGTATTCAGCTCCGTAGTATTATCTTTCTAATCATATTGTGATCAGTGCTGACTAACTAGTGGCCTGAAATATACTGTTCTTGCTGATTTTCATCTGCACTTTCAAGTAAGTGCATGTAAATATGAAGAAGTGCAGAAGAAAAGGATTTTTTATTGGATTTTGCAAGAAAAAAAATATTACCAAGTAATAAAAACTTTGCTAGTTTTTATGAGCAGCTTCCTTAACAGACAAGAGAAAAAGCGTTCTCACTTGCTTAATGCTGAAAGAGGTTACTGAAAGAGGTGGAAAGGTAGGTAACTTTTTGGGTCTTAGGCAAGCAACACCATAACTGATACTGTGAAAAATTCTGACTTGGCATTGTTGGAATTCTGATAATAAGGTAACATGCTCATTCTATTTGAGTAACTTGGCAATTCAAGTACTTAGCCAAAAATTAGATGTCCATATATGTATAGAAAGCAAATAATTCTTTTAAGTGGCAGGCTAGTAGAGTTGTGTTGATTTTGAAGTAGAATGGAAAATCAGAAACCAGGGAAATTGACTGAAATGAGCAGGACACAGGGGAGGGTACAAGTAACCAAGGTTTTGGGAAGAGAAACTAGTAGACAGTTCTAGGCAGAAATAATTTAATGTGTGTCCGTTCTAAATTTGACTGATGCACCTTGATATTTTTTTCCACATTTGAGACTGATACTAGTTTTGTTCTCTTAACATGTAATACTGACTTCAGAGTTGAAAAACTTTGGTCAAGAAGATGCAACACAGTCTGATTTAACATACATGGTAGAAGTAAACAAAGTATTTTTACATCCTGGCTACAACATCCTTGTAACACAACTCACAACTTCTAGAGTTAAGATTGTTCCTGAATGTTTTTTTTGGAATATCTTTTCTCATTTACTGGAGCACTAAGACATCTGCTGCTTTTATAATAAAGGAGCCTAAAAAATTGGTGCCTATATTCATTGCTTCATATTCATTCAACTTATTTAACTCCTTCACCCCTCTATCCCCAATAACAAATCATTAGGGTCGCATAATTATTAAAGTATTGTAAATGTCTTGCCAAGACCTTTGACTAGCTCAGTCTTTAGATTGTGTTGCTGCCCCAAAAGGCAACCTTAACCTGACTGCTCCAGCAATCTTTCCATAATTAGCTGTGACTGCATGACAGTACAGCAAGTCACAGTATAATTAACTCTTTTCTGCTGTTCCTGTACACTCAAGAAAAGTATCAGTTGGAAAGACCCATTGCACATGAAAACTTAAGTTTTGAGGAAAATCTTCAGGCTTTCTGTAAGTGTAGTGCTCCCCTTGCTCAAGAGAGTGCACACACAGAGTCTAGCACTGGTGGAATAATGCTTTATAAGATCTTCTCTGCTTTTGCTAGGTGTTGTGCAGAGCAGAGGAAGCTCTCAGCCATTTTGTTTCCTTTTAGCAAACCTTATGAATTGGAATACTTCTGTGCACAGAATTGTTCTTGTTTCTTCTTGATTTCCTGGTTTGGTGGCTTTGCCAGAGGCTTCTTTCATATGCCGACTGTAAGGGCTGTATTCCATCAGTGAACATGTTTCACCTCTTCTCTCACAGAGGGTAATGCACATGAGATTCTGCCCTGTAGCAGGAGCAGGATTTTAAACCTCAGAATTTATGTCCTTTGTTCTCTCCTTGTTCTTGATGTGAACTCTTCTGAGTGTGAAGTTGACAACCGGTAAGAAGAGAGCAACTTGGTCCAATCTTGTCACACTTGTGATCTGGTGCAGAGTTGCTCATCAGACACAGGAAATGCTGTCTGGTCTCCCTTCTTCCTTCCTGACCGTGCCCATCTCCGACCACTGAACTCTGTGTGTGTGTGGCAGGGGGTGTGTGTGTGTGTGTGTTGGAAAGGGATCTTTGGTTAATCAGGCCTGCTTATCAGCACTGGGGAAACAGTCTCTGGCTCTAACTCTATTGAAAACAAATAATTCTTCTGGTACTGATTAACTGTGTAGTCCTATCAGTCTCATAAAATCCATCACCAGTCATTGAAAAGGTGATGACTGATTCTGTGCCTATTAGAAATTGCAGTGCTTTACCTGGGGTGTGAGCTTTGCTTCTGGGAGCTGC